GGGTTTATTGGAATACAGAGCTTGCTTGTAAGGAAATAATTGTTACACTTTGATTTGTCATACTCTGATTAAAAGCACTGTACATGTGATTGCTTCCAGCTATTAACTATGCTGCAGTTGAGGGGCAAATTATGCTCCAATCCAAACATCTGTACATCCTTGTAGTCCATACATCCTCATTAACTGCAAGATTAGTCAGAGCAGAATTTGTCTGAGTCAGAGATATCTTTTTGGCAAAGTCAGTTCACCGAAATAATAATCCAAATGCTGTTCACTGTTGCAAAAAGTCCGTAGGTTTTCACTTAAAGCTTGTATTCCTTTTATAATCATGAACTCCCATCATGCTCTTACAGCTGATACCCCTCTGTAGCTAGTCTCTCACAAGTAGGCATGGATGACTCTTCAAATAACATTTATTACTAGCTGGAAACTGTTAAGATGCTGTTACTTAAAAAAAAAAACGTTGAAACCTGGTAAATCATCCATCCATCTGGTGAGAACAGCAGAGTGCAAGCCTGAACAAAAAGCTAACATTCAGTGTGTTGGTGAAGATGTTCAACTGTATGAACCATAGTTTTTTCCTTTCCTCTCTCCTTAAGTATTTCTGATAGATTCAGAAAGTTGAAAAGGGATGAGAGAGCAGTGCATATTTGTATCTGCAGGGATTCATGGCAGCAGGGGGAAGTTGACATTAATGTGGAGAAAGTCCAAACTTCAATATCAGGTGACTGAGAAGACATGAGGCTGAAGTGAATTTCAGACCAATATTTGATGGATAAAATTGGAATCAGTAGGCATTTTCTAAGTTTTTAGTGTTAACAGAGAGCTTCCTTATATCTTTTATAATTGTCCACAGTATTCCTGTCTAAGATACCACTGTGCAATGATACACTGTGTGGAATAGAAATATTATGATAAAAAGTCAGGACACACCTTTGTTATGCTCAGGGATATTTTGGGTAGTGGGGAGGCAGGACAGAGAGGCATACCCCAGCGCAGAAGATAAAGTCAGGGCCTTTTGGCATGTTAAAGCTTATTGAAAAAACAAATGCAAAGTCGTGCACTTGGGAAGGAATTGCCTCTTACAATGGTATAGGCTGGGGACAGACTGGCTGGGGAGCAGCTCTGGGGAAAGAGTGCTGGGGACCCTGGGAGCTGGGCAGGAGCCGGCAGCGAGCCCTGGCAGCAGAGGTGGCCAGCAGTGTCCGGGGCTGCATCAGCAGGAGCACAATGAGGAGCTCGGGGCAGGGGTGCTGGCCTCTGCCCAGCACTCGTTGTTAGACCACATCTGGATAACGTGGCCAGTCTGGTGCCCCCCGATGCAGGAAAGACGCCAATAACCTGGAGTGAGTTCACCCCCACGACGCTCAGGGCTGGAGGGTGTCCCCATGAGCAGAGGCTGGGGCAGGGGGGTTTGTCCAGCCTGGGGCAGAGATGGCTTTGGGGCACCTCACAGCCACCCCGGTGCCTACGGGGAGGGGATGGAGAGGGGGCAGCCGGGCCCGTCACAGCCGTGCATAGCAGGGCAACAAGGCACAGCAGGCATGAACTGAAACGAGAGGGGTTCAGGCTGGGTACTGACACCTCTCCCCCGTGAGGACAGGCAGGCCAGGGGGCAGGCAGAGGGACAGGCTGCCCAGGGAGGTGGGGCAGGCTCCGTCCTTGGGGGTTTTCAGGACCTGTCTGGGCAAAGCCCTGAGCAACCTGGTCTGATCTCACAGCTTGGAGCAGGGGTGCACGAGGGGCCTCCTGAGGTCCCTTCCAGACTGAATTTGCCAGTGATCTCAGGTAAGTTTTGCAGCACAGGGACATTACACTGGTTACACCTGGCTAAAGCATCCTCTTGTTATCCTATTTATAGAAAAGATTTTCTTCAGAAACTCACCCATTTTACACAGACTCCAAAATAAATAAACAGCACGTGTTTGCTAGGGATACACTCTGGCTTCTCCAGGAGTCTTTTAGAAGTTAGCCAACATATGTGGTTACACTTCTTCCGCAGACTCACATGACCGTGCTCCAACAAGGAGCTGAAGATGCCTATACATAGAAAATTAGTACAAGTACCTTTATATAATCCAGATTATTTTGAAACAAAATATAGGCTTCTTTCCCACCCCCAAGATTAATTAAATAAGGCACTCTGAAGTATATTTTCTTTATATAGTCTTCTATTTAGAAACTAAAGATGTGCATTTATTTCAATGACTGAATAGAGCAAATGGGATAACAGATCTCTATGTAGATAGCTCTCCCAAAAGATATGCTGCATATCTGTCCACTACTTGTTTCTGCCAATTTAGGATGATATTTTAGCTCAATAGTAGCTATCCACAATTCTTTGTAGTATTTCATCTTACAGATATAAAGGAGAAAAGATAACCTTTTTTTTTTCCAACAGCCCTTCATGAATGCCATGAAAAGATATCAATGTACCTATGAAACAAAAGGCTTCTGCAAATAGGAATGCAGGAAAAAGTCTTTCTACTTGCACATTCTCAAATGAATTGCAGATGTCAGGGAAATCAATAAATCTTTCGGATATCAAGAAAAATAAGGATCCCAGCCACTTCCCCCGAGACTCTTTATGTAAAAGGTGGCACAATAATTATGTAGGTGCATTATGATCTATAGGCAAGTGCACTGACTATTAACATCTAAAAGTGACATTTCCTTTTCAGACAAATTTAATATGAGCTGCAAAGATGCATTTTGCCGTCAACTTGCTTGTACAAAAGCTAAATCAGGCATGCTCTTATAATTGTACTGTATGCATTTTCCAGCTCAGACTCTGGTTCTACCGCATCTCCCAAGTCAGTTACTGTGGGTAGAGCTGGCCTAATTTTTTTCAATGCATAGCATATTTGCCTAAATACGCAGTCTATGAAACAGTGCCACTGAAACACTCCAATCAGATCTGGCAAAAAATAATGATCGGGGAATGAGGGCAAGGGAGGGAGCAAAAAAAAACCATTGAAACGTTTTATTCTGACAGCTTGGAAATTAACTTTTTGACTTTTCAAGACAGCTTTTTTGTTAGAAGAAGTTAAGAAAGATTCAGAGTTAGATAACTGAAAGCTAAACAAAATTAAGAAAGTCCTTTTCAATGAAATTAAACATTTCAAGTTAACCAGAATGGATATATAGTTTTCCCTTTATTAAATCATTTTTAAAATGTCGGTGCTTTGTAAACCAGGAGAAGTTTTTTTCAGTTCAGGCATATAAATGAAAAATCGACCATGCAGTCAACATCTGCAGGCAAGGTATCTGTTACCTGGTGAAAAAATGTTTTTCCTGTCCCCTTGAAAAATGCTCATGTGCTCAAGACTTATAAGATTATACTCAATCTTTGGGAGAGCTGAGGATGTCATTGGAAGTATGGATAAATGCTGTAATGTTGGTTTTAGTAGCTAGTCTTCATATAAATGAAAAATCGACCATGCAGTCAACATCTGCAGGCAAGGTATCTGTTACCTGGTGAAAAAATGTTTTTCCTGTCCCCTTGAAAAATGCTCATGTGCTCAAGACTTATAAGATTATACTCAATCTTTGGGAGAGCTGAGGATGTCATTGGAAGTATGGATAAATGCTGTAATGTTGGTTTTAGTAGCTAGTCTTTTGACCTCCGTTGGTTGTTGCTGTTATTATGACAAAGCTTAAATAAGCACAACCAAAATCAAGGAATAGCTCTTTGAGAGCTGTCATAGAAGAAAAATTTCCATTTTAGAGTGCTAAATGAGAGCCTTTGCACCCAGGTCAGCCATAATATGTCAGCCCCGCAGCGAAGGCCAGCTCTCAGAGCAGGTGGAAAGAGTTAGAAAAACTAAAATGGAGCTAAACAGAGAGAAATGAATTCACCTTTGTCTTCCGTGAAACAAACCTGATTACGGCAAGGAAAGAGTATGTGTATATGTTCACCACAAAATGAAGAGAAACCCAGAAAAGAGAGAGAAATCCACCAAAAACTGCATAGCCTTGCCAGTGCAGCAGTTCCTGCAGCTTCATCAGCCCTGCCACACGGGGGTAGCCGGGGATGCCAGAATTGCAGTGGGGGTCCCTCCTACCACCCCCATCCGTCCACGGTCTTGTCTCCCAGCTCCGAACCTGCCTCTGGCCCCTGAACTCCAGGCTGATGGCTGAGCTGATGGCTCGGGCACAGCTGATGGCTGAGCCCTATTTCTTGTGGCGCACTGGGCTGACAAAGGCAGGCAAGCTCAGAGCCAGCTCCGGGCACTTTGCTGTCAGCTGCTCTGCTTTGCGTGGCTGTGCCATCAGTCAGAGGGGGAAGAAGAGAAGGGTTCTGCCCTTCTCTTTGAAGAAATGCCTGTGCATTGTACATAGCTTGGGAACTCCTACAGGATCAGGCATCCTTTTGATATCTTGAAGAAATTTAACTAAAAAGCTATGACGTGAAAACCTGGAACTTTATAGGAAATGACAGTTGATGGCTGCAGAGCCCTGAGGCAGGGTAAATAATGCCCATGGGGAGGCTCTGCTGGGAGGAATCTTTCTACATATGGTTTCATATCAAAAGCCATTTTGTTTCTTGTGGGGGGAGATAAGAGAAAAAAATAAACCCATGTTACAGCCATTGCTAGTATCACCTAATGCAATGGTGAAAGGCCTTGCAGTGATGACAGCGGTATATGAACTCATGTGAAATAGAATAGAATCTAAAATAGAGGCAATACAAACATTTGTTGAGTTTTATCAGCCGATATTTGTGTGAAAAGAAACAGTACAAATGAAATTTTGTTAATGCCTTTCGCTTCCATAAACTTTAAATGGCTACAAGTGGAACACCAGAAAAAAAAAAAAAACCAACCCTGCAAAAATCACTGACTTAACCCTTCCACATTTATCACTGGACTCATGAATTTAGTGATTAATTAAATTAATTTGATAAAGTAATTTGGTTTCTGTGTGTTAGTTTTCTCTACTCATATGTGAAAGCCACTAGTTAATAGGAAGCTGACAAGCTTTTTCTCTGTTTGTGTCAGGTGCTGAAACTAATCTGAACTTGAGGAGCAGGGAAGAGCCAAATACATCAGATACCGGATCAGAAACCCAGGATAAAAATGCAAATAACCATGGAACTCAGTCATCTAATCCACTGTCCAGTTCTGTGACTGCTGAAAATGGAAATTCAGTATCAAATGGTAAGCAGTTTTTAATCCCAAAGCTCTTCTGACATAAAATTGCTGAAGTGTTTCCTTGAATGAGCTTTTTAAGATATAGTCAAGCTGGAATCTTCTGAGTTGTCAAATATCTGTGTTTCTGGAACTGGCTTAACTTTATATATGTGAACTGATAAGCCCCTCTCCAATAAAAGCTGAATATGAAGAAAATAAAAGAGCCTCTGTTGAGGAATTTGTAATTAGCTCAGCTCCAAGTCTATAAGCAGCCTGAGGCATGGAGGACTGAGGTTTGAGATTTCTGATCTTATAATCAATACAAATGGGACAGAAAATGGAAAATCAGGATCTCCCTTTGCTACAGGTGCCTTACCAGTGAATGACAAATTGTTTATCATTGCAACAAGATGATCAAAATGGTGCAAGAGCAATGACAGAAGGAATGAAATCTTTCAAGGTCCTAAAAGCATTAAATCCTAAGGATATAACACCTGTATTACATAAAATCACACAATACAAATACACGAGTATGAACAGACACAAGACAAATAGAAAGTATTTATTTCGATGGAATGTGGAGAAGCAGATATCTAAATACTTGCATGGCACTGGGTACAATTATCTTCATGCTGAAAACTTAAGTCTAAATATGGTTTGTGTAAGCAGGACAGTTGTATAACCTTTTACTGTTAAGGGTAGAACTACACATAACGCAGTTGGTAGTTTCAGAGCTATACTGGAAAAATCAAAGGGAAAAAAATATTAGGTCAAGTGAAATATTGCATTTTGTTTTCCAAATATGCTATCCTTTTTTTTAAAAAAAAAGGATAGAGCTGCTTATTATGCAATGTTTTGAAATGAAAAATCAAGCTTTATTATCAAAATGAAACATTTCAAAATCAAATAATTCCTTTCTTTTCAAGAAAACCTGTCCTCCAAATTCTGCAGTGCTTGGCCAAAATAATTCTTCCTGCTCTCTCTGATAATCAAAGCAGAAAACTTACCCAGTCTGAGGAGTTATATGAGTGTAAAGGTGCATTCATTCCTGCGTGGAACCGGCAACGCACTGTGACAGAAGAAAAAGACATCTTTGTCCATTACAACCGTGTCCCCATTTGTATCAATATAATAATTTGGGGAGGAGGGGAGCATACTTTCAGTATGTATAACAGACAGATTGTTAAATTAACACAAAAACTGTGGGTAGACCAAGTCTTTGATTCCTTACTATGTAGGATTTTAACCATATATTCTAATGTCCTAATGGGACTTGTGGGATATCAGCTTTTTATATTTTATCCCCAGACCGCTTAACTGGGAGTTTAATCACAAGAGCTGTGTTTTTTTCAGCTTAGAAATGAAATGATGCTTTAAGTTTATAATGTGTGATGATTACAGTTAAGTTAGTAAACGACCTCAGTTACTGAAATAAATAGTCATTGCTTGAATAAAAGGCTGACTAATAGGTGAGATGGGTGCTTGTAATTGTTTGTGTGAAGTTTTTATCAGTGTATTTGCAACCACTAGTAGCCAGGGCTGTTCATATTCATAATATACAGTATCTACTATGCATAAACTAATTCTTTTCAAACTATTTGTAAATGGAAAGTTTAATCATAAAGGTGTAATGTTGTGCAATGGAATTTTCCAGTAAGATTTTTTTTCCATTAAAAACACTGATTCATCAAACCCAAATTTTTCATGGAAGGTTCCCAATTTTGATGCAGCTTTGATAAGGAATGGTTTTGATATTCACTGTATACTATGAGTAGAAAAAAACTCCCATTAGGTCTGGCAGTATCCCACTGGGTGAGGAATTAGCATTATTTGTGGTATTTCAAGGTTCAAACCTATGTTTTGCCTATCAGACTGTTGTAAAAATGATGCAAACTTTGATTTTACCATGATGCAGAGCAAAATCAGATTATAAATTTTGTGATACAGAATGTTAGTTTTCCAGCCACCCTTAACAATAATTGAAAGAGTGGACAATATGGAAAACTTTGGTGTACTTTGATTACACGAATTCAAAACCAGTTTGCCAGTTTGCTGAGGAAAAAAATCCTTCCAGGACCCAACCTTAACATCTTCATGATTTTGAAATCTGTGTCTTGTTGGATATATCTAGGCAATACTGATATTTGAGAATGTGCCATGAGATGTTTCCATGTAAAATACTTTTTCATTTCTTTGTTACTCTATACCAAACTCCTCTAGCTTTGAGGAAAATAAAACCTGAAATGCATTATTAAATAGTTGATACCTGAGATTACAAAACTCTTGAATATAGAGCAATCTGCTTCTCACTGTTACACAGTGCAACTATATAATCTACTTTCCACTGATAGAACTGAAGTCTAGATTCATACATTACTCATATGAGTTAATACAGAAGCAATTTCTTAAATAAGACTAATCTTTTGCTGTCATGAATGAAGTGTCAGCACCACTCCTCTGAAGCATCATGAAACTTAGTCACCATGGTCATAAGAATCATCATTTTGATGAAGATGTTAATCTTACTTATAACCTGATGAATTCTTTAGAAAACTGTTACTAAGCAGCTAAAAAGATGGTTGGCTCAGCTTCCAAACAGATTAATGCTGTGTTGCTTTTGGAAGCTGAGTTTAATTTCTGGCACTGCTGTTAGTTCAGAATTTTAATAGAAGTTGCTTTTTCATTTTATATAATGTAATCCTCCTCTTTAGTTTATCTTTAATATTAGGAGTAACACCATTCTACAGCTCTGTGCTATCAAACCGACTTTTCTGACACAAATCTTCCACACCTACCAGAGTTTTTAGTCTGAAAGGAAGAGCTTTTTTGCTATTTCTTGTCCAAACACAGAGAGTAATGAGAAAGCCTATAATAACCTTTTACGTTACAATGCTGAAAGTTGTGATCCTAAATCACCCAAAACAGCAGATCCTCTGGTGGGAGACACTCAAACACTGCAGGTAAAAGTTTACTGAAATTTGTTGTCATTTCCAACTAGTACCTAATAGGATATAGAGGAGTGTTTAATCATTGGGTGAAATGTTTAAATATGACAACTATTATAAGTGACTGAGGTGACCTAACCTTTGGTTAGTGAAAGGGAGACATTCCCCAGATATCTGACAGTTCTTTACCCCCAGTGGAGTGTGTTGTAGAGGTACTGACTCTGCGTAACCCAAGCGAAAATTAGAGTGGATATTGTATAGATGAGACAGCCCTGTTGGACCAAAGGAGCATTGTGCTGCATCGTGCCTAATGGTCATAACAGGCACGCACTTTGCACTGTGCTGTTCATCCAGCTCCGTTGGCATGCTGCTGTCCCTTGAAGCCTCTCTGGTTGTTCCTCTTCTCTTCAGTTATAACTGAGGTCCACTGCTTGTGTATGGAGATCCATGTGAATGGACTCACTATATAGTTTATGCTGATTGGCATAAGAGTAACTATAAGAACCCGTTTCACCAAAAGCCCTATGCGTTATTCAGGCAAGGGGATTAAACTTTAGCTGTTGAGAAGGTAGCCATTCTGTCTAAGCAGGTCACCTGTGGGCTACCGTCTGCTGTATAGTCTCTTGAGAGTTACCGCCAGATCTAAGCACATCGGGCAACAAGTTGCAGAATGGGAGAGGTGTCACAGCAGATAACCTGACAGAAAAGGGGCATGTCACTATGACACAGGCTGCATGCTCTTGAGCACAGAGCCTTACATCTTGCCTTTCCTGGTGATGCCTCTTTCATGCTATAGCAGCCAATGTATCAAGTGGAGCTGATCAGTAGATCCAGCCTGTATGTGAATGCAGAATCATGGAGGAAGGTAGAAGGTTTGGGGAATGATGTGTGGCCACAGTTGCAAGACTCAGAGACTCTGTGGTGTTGCTGTTGTTTTGCAAATATGGATGTTGGAGGCCAGGAGGTACAGGGTCTCCAGTTCGGGGGTAGCAGAGCCTATGAGACTGGAGGTTCTCTGGAATCACAGAACCACTTCTAGATGTCCAGTGATCTAGATCTCAATATGTGAGATGCAAGCTATTTATCTGAAGGATCCTAAGAGGAGTATCTGAGAACAGGGCAGAAATGGGAAATAGGAAGTACAGTAAGAAGATCAGGGATCGAGTGTGGGATCTTCCTTTGAAACAATATAGAAAAGGCATTACAGGGAGTAAGTGGGTAAAGGACTGGGTTTCTAGTTTGAATACACATATTGCTTGGGACAAGGCCATATTCCTGATGATGTGAAAAAAAAATAGAATGCATGTCTTTCATTTAACTTCTCCAGTTAGAGATTATTGATTAAATAATATTCCTTGCTATCATTTTCACCACTACATAAAATTGCAGTAATCATGTTAGCAAGCATAATTTTGCCAGAATATTGCCAAATTAGGCTTACTTTTGGTAACTTGAGAATAGTTGCAAGAAAGCCCAGTCCAGATGGTGTAATTTGTGCTCCAGCCTGAACCCCTGATTAACTTATGTTCTTGTAGTTCTGCCCCTGCTAAACTGATGCTTCCAACCTTGTGCTGAATTAAGCAAGGTCTTATTCAGTGTACAGCTGTGGTATCCTAATATTTACTTAGGTGTACGTAAAGGAAAACTCTCAGAATGTAATCAACTACTCCATTTATCTTTCCAAACTCCACCAAGCCTCTGCTTGCCATGTCTATGAGGACGTGCTGTTGCTGCACATGGCAACTTTACTTATTTGATAAGACCTCTTATCAAAGTGCTTTTCATAGAAATAAATACAAAAATCATTGATAAACTTATTCTTAGCTCAAGGCTGTCTTGGATGGTAGATCCTAAAGCGTATGAATATTGTTCAAAAGCAATATCTTCTTCAAAACATGCTGCTGGCCTAGGAAAGTATTTTCATTCATTTATGGTGGTCTAGAATAATTTTACATTATATCTGGAAATATTAATGTTATCTTTAGAAATATTTTACATTATATCTTTTATTTGAATTAAATGAATAACACCTACTTTAAAAAGGCATTTTGCATTAAAATGTGGATAATTTTTTATTACGTTCTTTGAGATATATCCAAACTGAATCCATGTGAATAAATTGTTAGTTCAGGAAATGATTTGCAAAAAGTGATTTGTTTTGTGGTGACAAAAACTGGATTTTTGGAGGGAAATTTATTTCAAGCATTTCATTTGACCAAAAATATGTGATTTTGCTGAGGGACAATTTTAAGTTGGAGGACAGGGAATTTCATATAGGTAAGAAAGGAATAGTGGTAACTTACATATATTTTACAAGCCTAGTATACTGGGGACCTTGAATATCAGACCTTGCCCCAGTACATACCTAATATATCATGTACCAGCTTCAAAAAGTGATAACTCCACCGCAAAACAAGACATAGTTCAAATCACTGAGAAGACAGGGTCAGAATCCCTCTTTGCACCAGGCAGAAATGGACTGAAATGCTGGATTCTCACCAGATTTGACCTGACTCCTGAACTGCAAGCAGGGGTTCCACCTTCTTCACTGCCTGTGTGTGTCCAGATGATTTGAAGCTGTAGAAAAAGATCCGTATTTATGAATACTTTACACAAGCTTTATTCAGAAGAACAAATAAAAAAACCCCAGCTGTCCCTAGTTACAAAGCTGTGGAGATGCACCATTATAAGGGTGAAACTAAAAGCAGGGTAGAGAGGCCAAAAAGGAATAAGGAACATTCCTTCTCTTTAAAATTCTTGTTCTATTTCTCTCTCAAAGTCAGGTTATTTTATAGGATTATTCACGCAATTTATATTTTCATGAGTTAAATCATATATCAGTAACCATGTAAGAGTTAATGCTCATTTATCAAAATAATAAAATTAAAAAAACGTTTTTAATACTGAAAATAGCAGGTTAGAAGACAAGCATGTTTCACAGTGTGTTTCTATGCCAGTTTCATGATTGAACAAGCAACTGAACATGAACATGGAACAGAACTATGTCTAGTGCAGTACATAATCCCATAAGTAGTTTATGATTCATTGCGTTTGAACCTTGAATTGTTTCCATCATGATTCTGTGTATGTTGTGTATAATATGCAAAGAGTGGGGCTCGCCTCATTTTTTCTTATCTAAAAGTTACATATCTAGGCCCAGAATCACCTTACCTAGTTTTAGCCACACAAAAGGTAGATGCCTAGTCTAATCAAATGCTTCAGATTAGATGTTATCCATTTCTAGTTAGTAAATCTCAGGTGATCTACTGAGAACAATTCAACTTGCATATCTCTTACCAGGATGAATCCTCTTCTCGTGGTGGCTATCTCTGTTCAGTTGACTAAAGAAGGAGTGGTGATATGCTGTTTATGGATGCCATAGCAGCGTGAAAATTTGGAATATATGCTATACGAAGCAATCAAAAATGCTGGATACCAGACCTACCATGGTGTCTGTGATTCTAGTTTGTGAGGGGCTTAATAACACCTATCATGGACTCCCTGTGTTTCTGCTTCTGCCTTTGCTTCCCCTCATCCCGCCTTTCAGATCCTCTGTAGTGCTATGTGAATGGTCTTCCCACTCCGGCAGAAGTGATGGGGAAGCGCCGGCAGTGAGCCTCGCTCTAGGATCAGTGTGCAGAGGTGTTTGTTTCTCTTGACTACAGAGGGAGACTACCTGGCTCTTTTACACTGGATGACTGGTTTTTACACAGCTAAATTTTGGGCAGCTAATTCCCACCTGGAGAGTGCACAATAAGTACAAGAATTACAAAAAACTCTGTACTGAGGAGATGAAGTTGTAAGTCCTGGACCTACTATCGACTTCCCGTGTGACCTAGAGACATTAATTTGAGAGCAGACCGCAGGCCTGTTTTCCATTCCCTTTGCATTGCTTCTGCGATGAAAAGGAGCCAGGGGAAGAGGAGCCAGGGATTTCCGCATTGCAGGAGGAATCCCTGGCCAGTGTATAGGTAATGTGTTATTTGTAGGCTCTTTCAGCACAATTGCTCCTTCTGTAAACCAGCATGCATACTTATGATGCTATTCATACTTGGTAAACAATAATTGTTCCAGTTTCAGTAAGCATGGAAATAGTAAATATCCAGGCAAATGTGTGATTTTTTCGTTCTTTTTTAGTAAAACATGTCAAGGTCTTTTGAATCTCACACTGAAATCAGCCAATGCATAAATGTCAGATTATAAACTAGTATTGTTCTGCTTTAGGTTTACCAGAGGAAAATGAATATTCAAGACTGTCGGCCAGCACTACGGCAGGCTCATCGATTCAAAGACATAGGGAGAGCCACACAAGTCAGGTAAATATTTCATTGACAGTCTACTAGAAACAGTAAAAGAGAAAAAAATCATAGTAGCTGCATGTTGAAAGCTGTTGATTCAAATTTGTGTGTTGGCATTGAAAAATGCAGACTTCTTTTACAGGTTTGTATGGAGCTAAGGACAATAATGAATTTACTCTCAACTTTTTTTTCTGGGAGGATAATCATCCTGAAAGGTTCTCATAGCAGAGTTCAAAGTTTATGGTACTTACTGTTGCTGGTTGTGAGGATGCTATTTTCAGGCAGGAAATATGTCTCTTCACCCTGAGAGGACCAAGATGTTATCTCTCTCAAGATATTCAATCATACCAGAATGAGTTGCATGATAATGAACCTCATAGGAATAAATGCATAATTATATCATCCATTTGTATATAAAAGCAGTGAAGACTTTAAAAGCGGTCTTCACTGTTTTTATACAAATATCAGTAAATAAAAATTAAAATCAAAATATCTAGCAATTAAAACAGCAATAGGTACTGAGGTAGTGTGAAGCTTGCACTTTGGTTCTTTTAAAATTTCTGTTTAGTTAATGTCACTTTAAAATAACAACACAGAATTAAGTTTGATGTGCATTAAGTGAACAAAAAGGAATAAAATTTGTCATAATATATCTCTTCATTCTTTTCTTCAGCACTTTATGTATAATGTGAAACACTTTACTTTCTAAGTAGCCAATTCAGGCATGCAGGCATTCAAGAAATTTTATTTTATTTCACTTAAATGGCATTAGCGTATTCTCCTGTTGTCTTTATGTCTTCAGTCCACTTTTCTAAAAGGGTACTCCTGAGTCATTTTTTTATTTGAGATGACTGTAAGAATTTTACAGTAAAGCCAAATATTGTCCAAAGAGAAAATATGTTGAAGCTGAGAGGAGTTTCCTCAACAGAAACCTCTCATTAACCAATGGTACAGTTTCCAAACTCTTTTACCAGAAGGTAAGGGAAGTGCTTTATCACATTTAAAAGCTAATTCTTGTCTGCGGGGGACAGCTGACATTTTATTACAACAAAATACTGGCCCTAACCGAGTGAATGAATGTTTGGCCATTGACTCCAACAGGAATGGGATTCAACCTTCAACATCATATTCGGTCTTAACGTAACTTTGAAAAACAATAGGTTTTAACTGAGTAAATATGTGAGCAAACTAGTACAAAAGTCTTCACTTTTTGTTTTTCTGCACCACTGTCCAAAGCACAGGCATAACTACAGCGCCTATTCTGGGTTGAAAAATTGTGCCAAGACAGCACTCGGCACTACACTGATCTCTTCAGATACGTAAGTGAGGCCGGCCAGCGCTGCCCTGGCACACATAGGCATATACCCATCTTGCACGCAATAACACATCTTTGCCATCACCATACCTCTCAGACTCTCAAAACGTACTTTGACCATATTGTGAAAAAGTACTTACAGGTCTACTGTCTCCAGATCAGTATACTGGATGAGGATAGAGGATTATGAAGGTGACTGGAGGCAATGTTTTCAATTGTCTCTGTTACATTTTTTAATGATCAACCAAATACTTATTAGGCATGAAAGTGGCCAAAGAGCCCTCTCTAGTGAATGAAAAATCCAAGTCCCGGACACTGCTCCAGTTATAAACCTCACACAGTGAGACACTTTAGTCCTGGAGCACCTTACACCTCTGTTGCTAAAATGCTTGCCTGAGATGAAGGAGGATCATGTTTAAATTACTACATCAGTGCAGTACGTGGAGAGTTAAATGAACTGGGTATAGGGGAGCCATTATCTTCTTCTTATCTTTGCAAATGGAAACTGTATCCCTATGTGAAATTAGTCTGCAACATTTAAACGCTTTATGTTAGAAGCAAGTCTTTAACCATTTACAAACTTGTATTTTTGATTTTTCCAAAACTACTTGCCAAAAACTGAACACAATTTCAATTCAGTACGTTGAAATGTCACTTTTCAGTAAACAGATGTTTTGCCAAAGTGTTTCACAAATCTTTAAAATAGATTCCATGGCATGTACTCAGAATTACATGCAGGGACAATCCTTAAATGCAAGCTCAGTAAGAACTGTGACAAGTTTAGAGAAGGAACCTGCAGTTCTGTGATTTTTGATACAATTGCCTTAATGAATAAACATCTTCCAAAATGGTGTTGCCAAAAGAAAAAGAAAAAAATTTCCTCCCACAAAAAGAAAAAATAATCTTAAAAAAAGTCTGTGTTCACAGGGCTGAGAATTCTTACTGTAAAAAGCATTCCTCACCATTTCCAAAGCATGGCATGTATTTGAAAATGATTGGTTTTAATTACAGTTGACATTTCTTAGCATGCTGCTGGTGACACTAACAGCGTACAACCCTATTGTAAAAATCTTTGCCAGGCTTCACTGCAGTAACCTTATCACTTTAAAATAATTCTTGCACAGACGTATGAAATAGGACAGATTGTTTCACAGATCTGTGAAGGTACTGATTGACTAATTGCTCTAGAGAGAGAAACATAGACTGGGTCCTTGGATTTCTTGGCAGACACTCTGTCATTTCAGCTAAAGGAAACTGGTTCATTAGCTTCCAGGGATTTATAATATTTATGGGTTTTTTTTAATATCTCCCTGCTAGTTCCTTACTGAAGGGACAGGATTTAATTTCATTTTTGTCACAGAATCTCAAGGCTCATCTACATCCAACTAAAGTTTAGGCATTGTGGCTTATGGTACCATCATGTTGTCACATCAGGTGATAATTACCTGCATCACTGCCCGATACTTCCTGCACACTGCAAACTTACACACTTCAGAGAGCAAATTCTTAAGCTCAATATCTGTCGACATGCATCATAAGGCTCAATCTTTTAACAAACACTTTTGGAAGCAATTACCAAGTATAAAATATCATGCAGATGTGAACTCAGCAACTTAACTGATCATCTCTAAAGTAAAGTCTGCTGAAAACAAAAAAAAAAAAGTTTACTGTTGGCCATAAATGCTACTTTTCTAGGGCAATCATTACTTAAAGGTCAATTTTTATCAAAATGAAAAAGGACAAAAATTGAAAACTATTGTTAAAATACTAACAAAATATTTCTCATTTGAAAGTTATGGAATAAAATTCTACTTTCTTCTGCTAGAAAAAGGAGAAGAATATTAAAAATAAAGTTTGATTTTTGTCTCATCAGAAATGAAAGAACTTACATCAAAAGAAATTAAAGTCTTGCATGTTAAAAGAACAACAAAGTATGGGGTTTTTAAACTAATACATTTCCTTCATATTGTTCTGTGGCTCTACAGTTGTAGATTGTAGATACACCCTCAGTAAGTTTGCAGACGACACCAAGTTGGGCGGGAGTGTTGATCTGCTCGAGGGTAGGAAGGCTCTGCAGAGGGACCTGGACAGGCTGGATCGATGGGCCCAGGCCAACTGTATGAGGTTCAACAAGGCCAAGTGCCGGGTCCTGCACTT